CTTAAGGTGATCTGATACACACCAACTTCTGTATGCTACAGATAGATGGGAACACTTCCATTCCTATAGTGTCTTTAGGCACAGAAAACAGAAAAAGTATTAGATGGTGAATCTACAGAAGGGAGAATTTTTCTTCATCTAGCACAAGCCCATGCTGTTTCTGCAAATAGCAGGTAGCGCAGTACTCTGAGAACAGCCATACTTTTTTTTTTTTTAGCTTGATTTTGTGTTCAAGTGGAGATCTGCAGCTACAAACCCTTTCCCTGTAATCACAGGGGCACTCACCGCTAAATGTCTGTTGTTTATTCCCAAAGAAAAGGGTGGAGTCTCTCCTTCCGTATATTTAATTGCTATCATGATCACAGTCATTTGTGTGGAGTCAGGAGATTCCAACCATATCTGTCTAAGGATACAATACAGAAATGGCCTGGCCTTGAAGAGCTTCTACTCTAAACGTATTGCTAGAGACAAGCAGCTAAAGGAAACCAGTAAAAACAAACAAACAAAAATTAGATGGAAGTTGCATGAGAGAAAGAACATTACAATAGCGGTGAGCAGTGTCATATACAATAAGCACAACTGCTCATATGTGAATGTCCAATTTATAAAGAATCTGATCTTACTGATGTGAATTAGCAATGCTTTGAGAAAGTTTAAGGGGCTTGGCTACAGAAACATCAAATTCCTGGATCCCTGTCAGGTTTAAACATGTATTAAATAGTGGTGTAAGACTCTGACCCGCCAGAAACTACGGCCCTCTCCTGAACATGCGTATGGGCTGAAAATTGAAGTAGGAATTTAAGGTAAGAAAGTAGAGTCTGGTAGTTTAGCAATGGTTTCAAGACCGTAGCTTTGGACTTGAGCTAAGTTCAGACAGCTTCAGGTGTCTTCATCTCTTTTCTTTATCATCTCTTGGGAAAACGTGGGAGGGAAGAATGACATGACTAAGAAAAACAGGGTGATGCTCCATGCAGGATTCATTAGCAACAGTAAGTGTCCAATAAAAGAGTAATTCAAGAATCATTAGTAATGGCCACTAAACTCATGGGAAGTATCTTTTCAAAATTAATCTTCGGCAGAAAAAAAAATGAACCGAAAAACATTGCTAATAGAAAACAAACTTTATCTCCACAAAATAAACAAGCTACAAAGCTTGATGAAGATGACAGGAGTAAAATGAATAAAGGCAGACTGTCTGGCGTTCTTTCCAATGCTTTTGAAAAGATAGTGAGTAGCTTGAGGTACAGAAGAGTATTCTGTAAATAAATTACTGTTTATAACAAACTCAAACTTTTCAGGAAGAATTCAGATGAGTTATATATAGTGCCATCACTTGGTTCTTTTCTGGCAGTTAATAGTTAAACTAGACATATTTTGAGAATTGCACATGAAAAATGAAATACTGTTATGACACTAAATCTCACTGCTCCATATCAAATCATAACTCTAGCCTCTTCTCATGGATAATCTTCACAATAAAACTAAAGCATAACTATGTTCATAAATTATACTCACAAATTACTTGTACTATAAAGTATTATTACCATTGAAAGTAAAGTAGACCTAAAAATAAATAGAGATTTGAGGGTTTTATTCTATAATTGAATCATGTTTCACTTGCTAATGATGACAACAGAAGGCAAAAGTGTACTCTCGATGTGCAATGCCAAGCGTGTTCATATGCCAAAATGGCATATCTTGCAGATATTAAGGGAATTTAATCTTGAGATTAGTGCATACCCACTGGGATAATCTACTTTCAGTGGGTTTATTACTAATAAAAATAAACAAAACTAACACCCTTCCAATTTGGTGTGGCTATTTTGCTATGCAGCATACTGATACTCATTGCAAGAGATCTGACTTGGAATTGTCTCAGGCTAAGCATTCCAATATCACAGCAGCAGCAAACATGGTACTGGGACTCCAGGAACTATTTAGTCTAAGCCAAAACTACTACCAAAACTAGTGGGCCCTGCCACTCCTGCTCTGGTAATTCATTTCACTTCTACGGGAACTTGGCTTTGGAACAGATTCAGGTTAAAATAGCTCCTTCAACATCACCATCACCCTCCCAGGTATAATTTTGACCTGAGAGTATTTCTCCAGCCCAGTTCACCATTCACCTCAATGTCTGTGTTGACAAAAGGATGGTGTGGAAATGAGGAAACAAGCAGCCAAAGGTAGAAGGATAGAAGCACTCCTAGCTAGCTTATTCCAGTATAACATTGTCATGGATCTATGACTCCTTTTCGTTTGCTCATCCACTGCCTTCTTCCTTCTGACCACTTACATGAAATGGCCTTTCTAGCTACAGAGAGCTTCTCTGAGCTCACCCATCTTCATTCAGCCTGTGATTCTACATTAGAGGGAAGTGTATTTTTTTACTTTTAAAATTTGTTACCAGGTGTGCTCATCGCACTACGCATGCATGCAAAGAAATGCATCCACAACTCAGCTTTATAACTGGAGGTATTTTAAAATTACAGACCATACAACAAACATGTACAGAATTTCTTACTCTGGAATGAAGAATACACTTGATAAGAGAGGTTGGAGAAAATAAAATAAAACACAAAAACTTGGACTGTTTCAGAACTTCAGAATTGCAGATACTTGATTCTGATAGGAAGTGAGACTGAGATTTCGAAAACTTCTCCACAAACCCCTCTTCAAGTGAAAAATCAAAGACAAACTGACTGGCTGCTATACCACATGCCCTCAGGGACAGAAAGTAAGCCCTACTCCATACTGTTCATTAGCATAGATGTAACCCATGAATCATCCCTCACAAGGAAGGAAGAACATTCTCTTGCTGATAGCTAATGTTTTACACCTGAAAAAGCAAGAAAGCAGAAATCCATTTTGACCACACACACATGATCAGGTGACAGCAAGAGGGCAGATGAACAACTTGAGTTACATCATGCATATTTTTCAGATTACTATTTTTATTGTCAGAAAACCAGTGGAAATTTCCTATATCCTTTACTTTCCAGACATTAATTATTTATATTCTACCAATGAGCTACTATAATGAGAATATCCCATTTCTAATACCTCTTTATGAACTTCTAAAAGATTGAGTTCCCTTCTGTTTTCTCATTTATTGCTAGCAGAAGAAAGGTATTTACAAATAATTGTTTCTAGCTTCTGTTAAGTTGCAGCTATACTTACCTTCTATTCCAAACTACCAGATGCTTTCCTTTCAGCTTCCATTTTCATAAGTGACCTTTAGATCAAATGAATTGTCCACATAAAAGATGCTGGCATACCTATAGGTTGCCTTGATGCGATATGCAAGTGATGATGCTATCAACAGAGCACTCTCTTGTCACATTCTCCATCAGGTCTCTGATTTATAATAAGCCACGGCGGGCTGGGCAGGGATCAAGACAGTGGGGCTTAACACATGACTTGACATCCTGATATGAAATCATCAGTAGCAACTATTTGCTGATATCAAAGCCATTTATTACTAAGTATAAAATTCCTTGTATATTACTACTCAATACTTAGCTTGGCAGTTAGCTGTTTTCTTGAAGAGTTAGTACATACTATTTTCTGCTTCTTCTGTTTACGCTTGCAACTTCACAAACATATTAATCACTTAGCAGTGTCCCAATTTCGCACTTTGAAGAAAATGCTGAAAACAGTGCCTTAGCATATTTCTTATTTTCATCAAAATTATTATATCTAAACAAGAGTTAATATTTAGAAGACAATATGAACATACAGTTATGATTTCCTAATTTTGCTTGTACTTCTGCTTAAATGTCACTGCTTACTGGATAAGTAAGTAGCTATTTGATTCTGATTAGATTATTAAAAAGTTACCATTTATTTCAAGCAATCAACAGTCAGTTCCACACATATATGATTTATACACTTATAATTTAGAAACTTATAAACTATGGTTTTTCTACACTATGCTTATAAAAGAAACATTTAATTAAAATATTCAGATATGTTTGAAGACTTAATATACAGAACTCACAGGAGTCCATATCCCCATAAACAGAATGAGTGGATACATATGATTGTATCTATGTGTTCATTTTCACTTTTGTAAGTCTAAATCAACATCATTACATGATTTTGAGCATCGTATCCTCTCCATTTCATAGTATTCAATTTTCTTGTAATTAGAGGTAGTTCAACAGCAATTACAAGACTTATCAAGTGGATCAGCCTTTATTCTTGGTCAAATCAAAATCAAGCTTCCCCCCCCCATTTCCCATGAAGTTCTGCCAACCTTTGCCAATATTTCAGCCAACAGCAATTGTTAAAACGACAAGATTAAGCAACAAATTTATTTGAGCAACTACACCAACTTCACCAGACTCATCGCTTTCAGTTAGGGTGAAGGAAGAAAAGAGATTAACAGCTTTGAGCACCAAAAGTTCCAAGTGAATTCAGAAGTTCACCATTACAAAACTAGCATATTTGGACTAAACTCTGTTTCACTGGAGATTTTTAATACATTTATTCACAATCATGAGGTTATTTATCATTGAAACATCTCTGAATAAAGGAACTGGTTAAAGTCCTTTTTGGAGTTGGACAGCTAAATTACAACTTCAGGGTCACATAAACATGTGAGGCAGAGTAGAAGCTCCAATACTGGTGCCCCAACTCAGAGGTTTATAATTTAGTCAAGGACTTCCCATTTTTATTGACATTAGATTCTATTTCTAATCCTGATCCATGTAATATTAGCAAACACACACACAGCAGTTTTGAATTCCTTACCATTAACTCCTTTTTCCTAATTAGATGCAGCTAGATGGAGTGGCAATTCCCCAAGAGAATTTATGAACTTGAGATGTAATTAAACCTTTTTCAGTTCTATTTTGCTCTAATGTATGATACAGAGATCAGTACACAGAAAGAAATCAGTTGGAGGAAAAAACAAAATGGAAATCTCAACTGCTGTGTCCTGGGGGAAATAGCTGAAAGGCAGGAGTTACAAATTAGTTAATAGAAAGATAAATTATCACCTGAGGATAAAGCACTGGGGACGCTGCTCCTGGAATAACGTGTGGTAAGCTCTTTCAGCACAGGAAAATATATGTGGGGGAAGTGAGGAACACAATTTTCCAGAGTTACTTAAATAAAGTTGGGTGACCTGAAAAATTGTAGAAAATTAACATGATCAATAAATTTCAAACTAATTATGTTTCAACTTACTAATCCTGGGTATTTTGTAAAGCTTTCTAAACATTATGAACAGAATGTCTGTATGTATATAAGTGGAATCATTACAGTGTCTATGAAGATTTTAACTAAAGAAAACAGAGCTGTAAGCATAGAAGATTTAATTAAGATACAAAATTAAACTTAACTAGAGGACTCAACAATACTGGTTTGTGCATTGAGTGAACCAAAACCTACTAAGTTAATTTTTTATATGTTGCATTTATAGTTCTTCAATGTCTTGACTTAAAAATCTTACAAAATTAAATATGATCATCCTGTGAAAAGTTAAAATTTAAATCAAAGGCTTAAGTTATAAACTAATTCATTTATTACATCACAGAGCAGTCTCTCACAAATACGCTCTCTGCGATACAGAATAACTTCCATGAGACACATAGCTGGCAACATGTACTATCCTTAAAGCTTGAGTAGAACCAATTATCTGCTACTGAAACATCATTTTTTTCTGAGACTATCCTGATGTTCTTTCAGCTAACATCAAGCAGATTTTCGAAAAATTAGATAGTCTGCTAGTAGCTACAATCCTGTTCTTTCAGAATAAATAAATATAATAAAGAAAATACACAGTGTGATTTAGATAAGCTCGTGAGCAGAAATGCCATACCATTTTACAAATATCCTTAAATCATTTTGCCTTCCTTTTTATATAGCTTTCATCAGACCTTCTCATGGGTTTAGAAAATTAACACAGGCTCTACAGAAACCCATGGTAGCTGAGGGACAATTGGAACATTATGAAACATCTAGAATGATACTGAATGCTATCACTTAACCAACCAAATCCTTTCCTTTCCATCACATCCTGTTTTCTCCAACGATTCTCTCTAACCCCCTTCCCACCACAATGCCATTTTATATTTGTTTCTTTTTCCAAATGAATTAAGTGCTTATCACCCCGTCCTGTCCAATGTCTGCCTTATGTATTCAGATATCAAACTATTGAATCTTGGGGCATTTACGACACTGTGGCTGAATGAATCCTCCAACAGCACGGCCCTATTCTCATTCAGGCCTTTCAAGCTACCAGGCTAAACAAGATTAAATTCCTAAGGAATCATTTCAGTATGTCACAAAGCAGAAAGAAAAACCTTCACACACTTATGCTCGTTGCATAATATCACAACTGCTTTTCAAGTTTACATACTTTTCTAACACATGAACTTCAAGAATATATTTGCCCTAATCACACACAAATAAACTCTGCGCAAATGTAACAAGCTGTATGACTGTAGCACAAACACTTCTACAGTTATTATGAGACCTTCGAAGTCGTGTCTGCATGTTCCTAGTAGCGTAGTGCTACTGTAATGTATAGTGTAGCAGTACAGTGTATTTCTGTGTAAAAATGCATTAGCATCTAGCAATTGCACTGAATTACATACGAAGCAATGTATATCAGTGTCCATTAACGCCTGATTCTTTATGTCACCTCAGAATTAATAATAGCTTATAAAAAGATTTATTTTAGTAGTATTCTGTTGGAACCAAGATTGAGAGGCCATTGTAGGATGACTGAAGATTCCTGAGAAGTAATGAAAAGTGTTTTTAAAGAAGAGAACTTAAACTGTTGCTGTTACTGAAAAACGTACGTGATGATTTTTTCATTCCTTCATTTGGTTTTAAAAACAGTATCATGCCAAATACATCTTTCCATTCTTTTTTTTTTGACAGCTAACAAACCACATACCTGAAACAAAACGCTAAGTAATGAACCATATCATATAGCATGTCAGTGTCTAGACTGAAGAACTGACATAATCAATTTTTATTACTTTAATGTACAGACCATTTAACACTTACAGGCTTCAATACAATACTAGCTAAGCTGCTGCAGTATATTTCAACATTTCAAAAACAGAGAAAACAAAGCTATTTTACAGACATGTTTTTTGATCATCTGGGAAATACCCGCCTAGTGCACAATACCATGCAGATAATAACGATGGCGTAAAAGCAATGATCATCCAAGGTAACCCAACAGCACAAAAAGTGTCTCATGCTAAAGCTGCTAAAATAGATCTGTCACAGAGAGCTCAAGAGAAGATGCAGCAGATGTTCAGGAAACATTTTAATACGTAAGCCTTGCACCTAAATTGTTTTTATTTACAGTCCTCTCCTGGTGCACGAAATCATGTATCTAATATAAAATATACGGTGACAGGAAAAAAATACCATCATCTAAAACCTTGGGGATGATGGATGATTTCCATTTCTAGAAACTAAATTTAGACTCCAAACTTGCAATCTGCTGCTGCTGCCATTGAATGTCATAGCATTTCTTTATCTCAAATTTATACTGATACAGACAAAGCCATATGACTAGCAAACACCCACAGACTACAATTTGCTTACCAAATTTTGAACCTTTTATAATTTTCGTAAGCTAAAGAAACATATTTGAACACACCCTAACACAACAGGGAGCCTAATCTCTGTGCAGTAATGTGATCTCAGTGCATCAATGAGAAAATAACAGGGAGGGGGAGAAATAAATTAACAGTTACAGTAACACTGTGTCTCTAAAATGGCTGAGGGAGGATGAGGAAGAATTTATGAATTTGAATTTACGTTACTCCCGCTGATCTACAAAGTCCACTTAAGTTAGTATCAATGTTTAGGTACTGAAATGATAAGCCTCTGGTAAATAACTAGCCTGTCTCATAAGTGAAATATTAGAAAGATAAGGGTACTAATATTCAAGAGAGAAACATCTGAAGTGCTTCTTAAGTGGCCATGTGCATATGGACAGTGCACATATGGACTCAAGTCCTTTTTGCCCATACGCTGCCTGTGCCTAACACAAGCCACCTCCATCCAATTGCCCCGGTGTAGCACTAAGCTCACGCTGAGCACCGAGCGCTCATTGCCTGTACGGTGTCTGAACTGAGTGGCCTGCTGTGGAGCACAGACAGCCATTTTGAGCCTTTCTGCACCATTCAAGGTTGTTACCTCCATAACGGTGTTTTGGGTAAGGGGTAACAACCACTGCATGAAGTATGCATCTATTTTTGCAAGTTTGGCTTTGGCAGAAACTGTCAAGATCATATTAAACATCAGGAATTATTTTTAAACAATCAAAAGCACTATCGCTCATACAAAACATTAGCAAGATGGCTGTTTTACAAATAAGACACAGCAAAAAATAGTGGTATCTTGGAAGACTTTTTTTTAAAAAAATTACTAAAATATTAAAATTAAGATTCTCCCAACTTAGAAAAGGGTGTATATGTTAGTTAATTTTAGGGGTTTGGCCTGCCAAATGAACTGTATGTATCCACTGAAACAATCCACACTGTAACATTTTAAAGAGAAAATGCTTACCATGGTAGAATAAATAGGAAGTTCTTTAAATGGGTTAACAAGCAACAGTATATCACCAATGTAGGTCTGAAAAAAAAAGAAGATATAATTGCTTTATTAAGTAATGAATAAAATCTTCAAGGAGGCTAATGGTTTTCTTCCAGAAAGGACTTTTGGCAAAGCTTCTTAAATCTAGCTATCAACATATTAAATATGTCAGGAATTCAGAGATCTTAACTTCATAACTTCAAACTGAGATTTAAATTTACAATTCAGAAAGCATTAATTATTCTTTTTGTAATGATACTGAGTTCTTTATAATGGAAAATTATGCATAGAAGAATTTCACTGCATATGTTAATTGTAGTTTATTTGAAAGTTAATTTGTAATTTACCATTTGTTATACTACCAAAACGTGACATGCCTACCACATAAACAAGTTCCTCAAGCAAGTTTTTATGGTATAGATGACATAATTCAGAAAAGCTATATTGGTTACCCAGAATTGACACATTAAAATATGTTGCTTGTGGAATAAGGCAGCACAACTGACATACAAGTATTTAGGTGTGTGTATGTGTATATGAACATATGTACATGCATATAGAAAAAAATCCTGCCTATATTAAAAATAGCAAACCATCAACTGACTGCAAAGGTGCCGAAATTTTATTATTTCATATTTAAACACTCATACGTGAAAGATGTACTTAAGCATAAAATTGTAGGTCACCCTTGCTGCTATAGTTCTCACTCCACGTAAGTAGCTGCTGCTGTATTATGCTCTTAGAACGCAAAACTGCCAGACCTTTGTCTCTGAAGAGGTCAGACACCAAACCATCACGTGAACAGTCCCAATCATGCTGCCTTTTTCAAAATGAAGTATTTTGATTTGGGAAGGTGAAAAATATTGCCTTTCATAGTAAATATACTATTTTTCTTCTGAAGTGCAGTAATTTATTTCCTTTCTTTTGCCCACCCTGGCTTCGCCGTTGGGTTTATCTGCAGAATGGAACTTTATTAAGCTTCATGAAACAAGTGTTCAGCGCTAAGGAGGATTTTGGTTTGGAATTGGAGTCCAAGGACTTTTCCTTCTAAGTTTGAGAACCAAATCACCCAAAGATGCAAGCGTTTTCAGCATTGTTGCTGACACTCTAACAAAGCACAATGGCTGCTGTTGAGCAGAATATTGATGATCACTGCCTATAAACTTCCATTAAGCTATGGAGAATGCCAGAACAGGGTATGAGATCCTCTTAGGTGAAATGTTCAGTATTTACAAATAAAAGACGACCTCCTTTTTATAAATATTAAATATCTGTGGATCCTCCTATATTCAGTTAAAGTCGTCTGTTTGGCATCTTTAAAAGTGAGATAAAGCAAAAGAAACACTTATAATAAAATAGGATTTGATCCATGATTCTAAATCCAGAACTTTTGTTACCATTAAATGCCATAACACCTAGAATTGAAGCTCCCATAATTTTAAAGGTATTCACAGCAACATGCCAATTCCCCATATTTCTTTAGTCTAAACAGTGCAATCAACTTATACATTTAAAAACAAAAATTTGCATGTTTCAAATTAACATTCCACTCAGCTGTTCAGTAGGTTAGAAATAAGTTATGAATAAGACATGAACAGGGATGCAAAAATTTTCAAGTGCAGATTTTTCTCCAGAAGTAATCTATGCCTAACCAGATGCCTCCTGAGTTTATTATGGCTAAGCAGGAAAGCCTGCTTTACAAAAGTCTTGCTATAATTATTTCATTTGGTATCTAGATGATTAACACTACAATACAGAGAACGAATTCTGTAATATATGAAGAGATAATGATAAATTAATCTCCCACACTGAATTCTAAGCTTTTTAAATCTAAATTTCTTTTAAATTTCCAGTAATCACGTGTTCTATTAAAATTAAGTTAACACAATGTTAAAGATGGAAGGATCTTTTAGTGGTTTGAGAAGAAAGATTACATGCACCCATCAATTTTTACATGTACACTTCCTCCGTGAAATAAGCACACGTAAATTGTATCCATACCTATCTGAAGAGTTATTCCATTTTTTATTTCTGCTTTTCCTATATAAACTTGAGAAATGGCAAGGCTTGCACACACATATATCTCAATCCATTTAAATATTACACATGAGTCCAGGGCAAGTTACTGTCCAGTAGTTATGATAGTAATCCTATTTTTCCTATTCTCTCATTTGCTTTTTTTTGAAAGCTTACTGTTGGTAGGTGAATAGCAACTCACATATATCTGATTATTATTGAAGCGCTTCTGAATCTCATAAAGCAGGCTGCTGTCTGTTAGCTCACTCAGAGAAGCCAGGTCATCATTTGGAGCTGGAGGCATTAGCTTGATCTAGAAAACACAAATCAGAAAAATAAAGCAACTTCACAACCAATCATTCTGTACCATAAAATTCTAACTTAAAGTATAAACCGAGATCACTAGGATTTAATGGAAAAAAAATGCATTAGGAAACTGGAAAGCTATCCTCCCAAACAATTACACATCATTAATCTTAAGGAAGAGAAGAATGTCAAAAATTATCATCAACGTTAAGGTGTATAACTGTGTAAGTCTGATGGGTTCTTAAGAACATAGACCCCTACTAGACTGTCATTTGCTGTCCTTGAACCCATAAAGATTTCCAGCTCAAATGCAGTTCTCCGGCTCTCTTCATTAAATGTTTATGGCAAAAGAAATCAAGACTATAGAAGTTAGTGCACTTGCAAACTATTTATTGCCCGGTATTTAGCAAAGCTCTATCATATGAGATTTAAAATTCTATTAGAATATTTTTTTAATAGAAGGAAGTTGTTAAGAAGTGGGAATCATGTCATCAAGGAGACCAGAAGAGATTCAGAAGAAGCTACTTCAGCCAAAACTGGTGAATGAAATGAGCTTAACTTTTTTGACATTGAGGAGGAATAATATAAGCTCTGCAAGGCAAAATAAATGCTAAGGAAACAAAAAAAAGAAACAAAAAAATCCAAAAGACAAAATAGAAGACAGAAGAAAAAATAATTAGTGACAATGGAAATTTGATTAAAGACAAAATAAACATTGATACATTAAGTAATGTGCTTATAAATTATGATCTACACTTACAATGTAGGTTGTTTCCTTTTTTATGTAAGCCCAAAGAAGAACACTTGCATGTCAGCAGAATACCCAGAAACAGAAAATTCTCATGTGAACCATGGTAAAATTATTTGAATTGTTTGGTCAGAGTTACTGAAATACTCTCTCAGTGTCTATTTTGAGGATGGACAATGAAGATGAAACTCCTTTGTTCTATTGTTCTGCTTAAGATGAAGACTCAGGAGAAAAGCAGACGCTGCCCTTTCTTGGGGAATAACTCAGCATCCTCAGCCTCTGGCAGTGGCATGTGGCAGGAAGTCAGCAACAGAAGCAGCAAGAAGACCGGGAGATTTTTGGAGGTAACACCGAGTGTGCTTCTGTCAAGCAGACCCTAAAGACTATGGATACTGGTGTTTAATACTGAGGATCTGATCCCAAACTGCTGAACTTCCATTGTTTCATAGGTTCAAGGTCTAGTATCACAATACTTGTCGTCATAAGCAAGCAGGATGAATTAGATGTGATTTTGTATCGTCTCTAAGTTATAGATCTTTGGCCCTATCAATATTTTTTCTTTTAAAAACAGGAGTATTGAATACCAGTATCAAAATATTCCATGAACAATCATAAAACAGATGGCATTTTGTACTCTCCCATTTTACCAAGAAGAAAGAAACAATGCACGCCAGACATCACAACAGCAGAACCACTAGCTTCTATGATACAAAACAAAATCTTGGTTTTTTCTGTTTAAATATTTCACTAGCTTTACTCATACTTATGTACTGGCAAGGTACAAATGAAGTTGCAAAACCTGGAAAACCTTCTATGGTCTACAATAGAGAAATACAAATACAAACTGTGGCATGTCAACTTCACACTTCATTTTACACTAAGCATTCTTGTGTGATCAAGGTGTTTGTCAAAAGATGACTGTTCTCACATCAGCACAAAACAAAACCCAAGACATCTCTTTTTAGCTGTACTTATTCCATGTTTGATTCATGCCATACCACTATGAACATTTTTTCTTAGCTTCCAAGCTTTTTATGGCCTTAGCTACCCTATTATGCAGTTCCTTATAGTCCACACAAACTCTCAAGTACTATACTTGGTTTTTAGTCACTTGTCCAAATCAGCCTACTCTTATCTTCATTTAAGTCGAATACTGAATAATGAGACAGAAGCTTAATCACTAAATAAACTGCAAAATACAGCAAAATTAATTCTAAGAAATACTGCATAGCATGTAATAGCTGGTGAAGGGTCTAGAGAACAAGTCCTATAAGAAGTAACTGAGGGAACTGGGATTGTTTAGTCTGGAGAAAGGAGGCTGAGGGGAGACCTTATCGCTCTCTACAGCTACCTGGAAGGAGATTGTAGTGAAGTGAGTGTTGGTCTCTTCTCCCAAGTAACAAATGACAGGACAAGAGGAAACTGCCTCAAGTTGTGCCAGGGGAGGTTTAGATTGGATATTAGGAAAACTTTCTTCACTGAAAGGGTTGTCAGGCATTGGAACAGGCTGCCCAGGGAAGTGGTGGAGTCACCATCCCTGGAGGTATTTAAAAGACTTGTAGATGTGGCGTTTAGGGATGTGGTTTAGTGGTGGACTTGGCAGTGCTAGGTTAACAGTTGGACTTGATGATCTTAAAGGTCTTTTCCAACATAAATGATTCTATGATTCTATGTACAAATCCATAGCACCTCACAGAGGCAAGCAGGGCTTGCAAGGTGCCAGCTCCTGATGAGTCCCAGGGCCCTGCAGTACCTTTTATCTATGGAGGGCACACTTCTACTCTTTTCTCTACTTCAAGTGCTACAGCTAGTATTGCAGTTTTGTTTATTCTAATAGCTCTGTCCTGCAGATTTGCACAATAATATTAAGGACTTCAAAACAGATCCATTTCGGGACTGATACAGTGACTGGAAAAATTTGGGGACCTCTGCTCTAGTCTTTAATAATTTCCTTATTATTCCTGTAAAGACAAACGTATTCAGTAGAAAGTAATATTTAAAACAAGTATGTGAGGAAACACGAAAACTCCTCACAGAAACCTGTCTCTTTTTTTTTTTTCAGCTCTACCAATAGGCAATAAATATTGACAACTAAAATAGTATGTGTAAACCTCATATGCATGCAACAGCATGAATATTAGCAAGAGATTTTTCAATGTTTTCCCACTCACCTACTAAAATAGAAAAGTCAAGCATCTAATCTGAATTCCATCTGCAACAGATGTTGAACTAGAGAGATAAAGTAGCAACCCGTAAACAATCTGAGGAAAACATACCTTATAACAGTCGCTTTAGATGTACTAGATGCATACATCTATGCAAGGACAAGGGCAAGAAGGCAGTAGTGCCCAAACACACTTTAATGATGCTTTTAATTTCCCTCTTTCCCCATAAAAATTGTGAAAAAATACCTCTCGTTCCACTCAGTCCAAAAAGCAATAAAAGTACAAATGTAAAAGAGTAAATATCTCAAGGCCATTATTTACTAGACTTAGCTAATGTAATAATTGGTTTTTACATGTACGTGTAAAATGTACTTACTCCAACATGTAAACTGTGAAATAAGCCAGCCAAAAATTTCACGATGTACTTTCCTACAGTCCTCACCTCATCTCACTGATTCATTTTCTTCAGAAGAGATGTACTCTAAAATGGTGGAGTCTATCAAAATGTTACTGTGACTATTCTCCTTTTTCCTGTCTTTTTGAAATACTTTCTCCTTAGAATATTGATATTTTCAGAACACAAGTTTCAAACAAGATCAACATACAGAGGTTGCCTACCATACCTGTCTGTGTCTTTCTGTCTACCTGTTGTAGAAGTTTTATTCCTCACCCCATTAAAGTGAATGCAGATTTTTCTGTCACACAAAAGACAGCATATCTTGATCTTTTTGGTTTTAATCACGACAGTTGGATGTAAGGCTGGCTAGGAAACAAAAATTCCACTTGGCCAAAAAAAAAAATTAAATTACATTTTGACATTTGTTTTTGACGATGCACACTGGAATAGAACAAAATCAACAAAAGAGTTCTAAGAACTTTTAAGTGTCTTGTAGAGGGAAAGCAGATGAAACACTGAAGCCTGTGGCCTCCTTCCCTTATTAATGTGCTCACCTAGCTTGCAGGCACAAAGCAGGCATAGGTCTTTACTGTACTTCCTTGTGTGGTATCAAAACTCAGAACACCTGTGCCAGAGAATGAGCTTCTCTTAATCTACCCCTATAAAGATTAAACCTATGCTAGGCTAGAGACAAATGTCTTGATTTATGAATGAAAGAAGGGTTTGGATTCAAGCATTACCCTGGGATTCTCCATGTTTTCTGAACTGTTAGCACACTTCCTTGAACATTCTTGGCTCATGCCAGCTAGTACTTATGCAGATGATACCTGGATATCATTCAGGTCATATATTAGTGGTCATTTCCCATAGGCTGTTTGGGCATGGCCCCATCTTTTGAGGGAGGAAAGAGTTTTGTGTTACGGATGTGCACTGACCCATCCCACACAGCCCCATGCCAGAGAACAGGCTCTGGCTTGCTTTTATTTCATAATCTTGGTATAATCAAAGATGCTGACCCTATAGATAGATGATTAAAAATGTGAAGTGCTCAGTTAAACTACAAGTAAGGGAATTGAAATCTTTTTTTTCTACAAAGTTTAGGATTTGGTGATTCAGCATTTTCTAACAGACCTTTGCATCAAAATTCACAGCTCAGTGAACAAATAAGTCACACAGAAATAAGAAACTCTAAATGCCTTAAACTCACAATTGATTTGACTTAGTAGTAAACATTATTTATATTATTAATAACTTATTTGTGGTCACCTTCAAATTCTGTTCTCATCTAATTTTCTGAGCATATGAATGAATTTTCTCTATTTTTTTACCTCTATGCATGTATCTGGTTATCATACTGATTGCGTGATGCATATTTTATGAGACATAAAAGAACAAGATCCATAAATACAGCATAGGTTCCAATATAGCTATGCCTCTGGAAGTTATTGGCTTTTGAGATCTCTGTAATGCTAACAATGAAGATTACTATTTACTCATTTAAATTACATACACTTAACAGCATTCACAATCTGCTCATATAATAATCTCTAATTACTTTTATTTTTTTTACATACTCAAGTCATTGAAATAAGCGTGCATTCTAGCTCTTACGTGTAATGCTATGATAGACATGATTGTCCCTTGTGTATGTGGTAAGTGATACTAGAACAATCAAAAGGGGATCACGGGATACTCTATCACACAGTTCATATGGCCAACAATATGTAAACAAGAATTATAAGACAAAGACAATTTTTTTTTTAAAAGACCCAATTACAAAAAAGAAAAGATTTAATTTATATTTGCTTGTAGCATGGAGCACGTAATTCAATTTCAGGCCAGTAATTTCAATCCGCTATCAAAAAAATATCCTTCCCAGCTGAGAAGAGAAATTGCCAGCTATGATAAAATTCTGGCAATTATTCATACTACTTCCTTTGTTTGGCAGCAGAGACCTTGACATTACAGACAATCAAAGAACATCTTTTACCTAGGAAAAAGCAAAAGCTAATACAAGACAAGAGAGACCCAAAATGCTTTATCGATATAGTCATTTGATCCCCATCTCCTATGCTTCATGTAACAAAAATCTTATTTCATGAGAAATAATATTTTGTTAAGGCTCTTTTTCATCATTTTTGCAATTAAAAAACCTGAGGCTACATATAAATTTGAGCTCTTAGTTTTCTCAAGTCAAAAAAGTTACGAGCTTTCTCTATTAAAAATGTATGTTTCAGATGTAATAAAATGAAATTTTTCTCTCTGATCCCGAAATAAAAGCCTAATCTGCATGCCATATTGCCTAAGAATGTATGATATTTCTGACACAAAGCATATGAAATATCATGCTGATCTATTTCAATAATATATGAACACAAAATCCAAGTAATGACTCCACATATCCTATTGAAAAATTAAACAGAACATGATTACTCCGAGTGTAGTTTGGAAAGCAACTGGTAAGAGTAGAAGATGGTGAAACTCATTAGAATTAGCATACCCAAGAGGCAGGGATCATGGGAAGGTGTTCAAAGCTTTCCTTTGGTATCAGCACTAAATAAAAATTTTATTTTCCAAGTTGTGAAATAATAATAAAAAAGTGTTAGTTGGAAATACCATCTCTGAAAACTAAGATTTACATATTATGTACATAAATATGGATCTGATATACATATAATCATAGAATCATTATGTTGGAAAAGACCTCTAAGATCATCAAGTCCAATATATACCTACAGTTCATAATACACAGCAAGTAGTATAGAATACAATCCCTGTATTTCCAGGATCACAATTAGGTCACTTCAAAACAGAAAAAAACCATATTTTCATTTGACAAAACACGAAAATTCTTTAGTTTACTGAAATGACACTATTTCCTGGAGTGATTAAACTGGTTTTACCTTCTTTCGTCCATAAGAGTTAAAGTTCATTAAGCACTTGCCAACTGAAAAGTCCTGTTAATCTATGATTATTTTTTTTGTAATGTAACCAGTCATTTAAAACCACACTGAAATAGCACAGTTTCTAACTTATCCCCTGCTAGTGCTGATTTCCTAGATAGGACTGTTCCTGCTTATTCTTTTCCAAAGGCGCATCACTCCGCATTCAGCAACTGCAGATATTGGGCATGGTTTGTAGTTTTTACTCTTCTAAAAGACCACAAGATACACATTCCTTCTAGCTCATTTAAGGCAGAATTTCACAGAGTTTTTTCTGCACAAATTTCTCAGCTAATGGAGGTAAAAGAGATTCAGCTTTAATTTTACTTTCTTGTCTTTGAATTGTGACTAAGTTTTGAAAGTCTGCCCTGGGACCACGAATTGACTCTAGTTCATGGTGGAGGACAAAAATACCAGTATGGAGATGTCCAGTTGCTCTTTCTCACCTGGAAGATTAGCTGTTCCTCTTCCAATCAGTTCCGGCATATCCTTTACTTTATAAACTATAAAGCAAAAGTTTAGCCTGGAGGTGATGAAAACCTGAATAATTTTAGCTAGGTCCACACCAAAACAGAATAAAGCACAAGCAAGCATATATGTTCTTGTCCACACTCCTGTTGAACATCCAGAGGCAAGTGAAAGTCTCAGCAAGACCCTAAGCTGAGCACCTACCTCTCTTTTCCTACAATTATAGGAGGGTTCATCCTAATAGGTTTGCAAGCATTTACTTGTCTGAGCAGCAGTCCTTCTCTTTCGGATTGACTGTATTTTCATCACATCACTGCACAGTAAGCAAGGCCAGAAATTGTATGACATGAAAACAAGATGGAAGCCAAGTGCAAAACATTTTGTGCTATCTTCTGACTAAATAGGGAGCTGAGTGCTCTATGAGATTCCAAAGCTGAGGACTTTCAGAGATGGATTCATATAATTGAGATACGAACTCACTGATTGATCACATATGATCAACACATTCCTCTGAAACACACTTAAAAAAGAACAACAGTGGATTGTGCGTGCTTCTGCCAAGGCAGTTATGTATTTTTTTTGAACTGAATGTGGCTTAAGTGTAATTGGTATCTTGCTCCTTTGTTATGTTTCAAATTCACAGTAAATTATTTTAAATGGGAATTCTCCCCACCATCCCCCCAATTCTAAAGTAGTTTTTTTCCTGAAATGCTAAATACTTCTGGAATATATGTTTCCCAAATGCATATAACAGAAAATAAAACCTCTACCAAAAAAAAAAAAAACCAAAAAAACCAAAAAAACAAACAACCTCACAACCCAACCCAAACAATATTTAAGTCCTAAACATTCAAAGTTAGGACATGCCAGATTTACAAACAACTGATAATTGCCTCTTTTTGCATTCACCCTATACACCGAATGAGTTTGTGATCCTGTGAAGAAAACTGTAAAGGGGATACAAATAATCAGTGCCTGTATCCTAATGCATTAGCATAAGAAAAGGTCTTAACACTGCAGCTATATATCTGGCAATTCCTGTCTTTAAATTACAGTCATTTATTTTGCAACTTAATATTCTTTAGACATTCTTTTTGTTTTTGCAGTCTCCCAGGTTGCGTTTCTTTCATTTGTAAACTGAAGTTGGAGACAAGAGTACACTTTGGGCCACACTAACAGTTGTCTCTCCTCTGTTGTGAGCCACGAACAGGGTTTGAGGATCTCTGAGCCCTCTGACTGCCACAGCCCCTGACCTGCCACCAGCATCTGGCAGGTTCAATTTCCAGAGAGGAAACTCTTTGCAGGGCCAGACTGATTGCAGGGAGTGATCAAGGGGACAAGGCTCCACAGTGCAAATGATATTGCTATGGTGAGGGGGGAAAAAAAATTTCTACGGCCTTCGGCTTCATTAAGTTTAGAATTTCCAGACCTAAGTGCCAACAAACATTTCAAGAAACTGGGTGCCGTTACCTGTTCAAGTTTTGTTGTAGTGTTCACAGTGACATTTTCAGATGCACTGTCTTGCGATTGCTGCTTACATAAGCCTTTAGCTGCATCTTTAAACATAGTGTCTTTCTCCAGCAAACTGTCTTGCTTGGCAATCGGTAAAGCCAGGGGATTGCTACAAAGAGAATCAATAAAGCAATTAGATTCCTCCTGAAGATGTCAGACAAACAAAAGATTGCCAAATGTGGGTGGCACAAACACAGAACTGAGGCAGAGACATGAGTTCCTGGTCCAAGTACAAAAAAGAAATTGGTGAGAAATAAACTGTTCACATAAGTTGGTCTATCTCAACAGACACAGAGCAAAAACCTTTGATTTAAAATTCACCTTTATGCATATCTTTTCTGAAGCAGAACTGAGCAAGCCAAAGAGAATATGCATGAGTCTGCTTTTGATATCACTAAGCTGGCAGATCAATAGCCAATTTTGAAACTGAATTTAAAATACACAATTAACCTACAAATACTGTTTTGAAAAATAATGTTTTGAAATAATTCAATACAGATATTGCCATTGTGGTTAATAAAATTAAATTCCATCACTTTTTAGTTTACTTTTAATCAGGCAATATCCAAGATATATTTTACGACCAAAAGCTGCTTTGAATTTGTGATATGCCAAAAAAAAAGCCCAAACATCAAACCAAACAAAAAACAACAAAAAAAAAAACAAACCAAGCAAAAAAAAACCCCACAAACCAAGCACAAAAAAAAAAAAAAAACCACCACCCAAAACCCAAGCAAACACCAGACTTCTGAAATTACTGCAACAATACACAACACTCTTTATTCACCTATAAGTTAAACCTATTCTTACACACATGGATGTGTTTTCCCTACTGACACTTCAGACTATATCACACTTCTGAAAAACAACAATGCCAAAATCTTGGATGATTTTGGCAGCGTTGTACATCCAGAGGAATTAGCAAGGAATCAGCCCCAGGAGCTGAGAACACAAACATCTTAAAAAAATAATCGTCTGGAATCTGACAGCGCAAATGAGACAATCTCGTGGAGTGTACAGCAGCTCCTTGCCAAAACGTGTTCATAATTTCTTTGAAAGGAAACATGGTCTTAATGTGGGAATGTGGGAATAGTGCATTCCACTACGGGATAAAGCCCAGATGTCGGAATCAGCCCCAGGAGCTGAGAACACAAACATCTTAAAAAAATAATCGTCTGGAATCTGACAGCGCAAATGAGACAATCTCGTGGAGTGTACAGCAGCTCCTTGCCAAAACGTGTTCATAATTTCTTTGAAAGGAAACATGGTCTTAATGTGGGAATGTGGGAATAGTGCATTCCACTACGGGATAAAGCCCAGATGTCAAACACAGAAAAAAAAAAAAAAAAAAAAAAAATCATTGAATTTTTACTCTAAGTTACTTGAGTTTGATCATTGATTATAATAAAGCCAGAATTATACACACCATTAACTTAACTCAAACTAAATGAAGGAGGATCCTTAGCTAACACTGATTTTGATTCAGGATATGAACTGCTGTTGGAAACAGAACTGAAACACAGACATTGTTTCAGAGAGGTACAGAGTCCTAAGCAAAGGCAAAGCACCTTCTAAGCAGAATTCACTGGAAAACAAGTCAAAGTAGTTTCCCATAGAATAAAAATACATGAACAAAACCTTTATTTTGACGAAAACCTCAGTCTGCAAACATTGAAAGAATTAATTTCAACATTTTGTAGTGAAATATACACAATTTCCTTTCTAATGATGTTTTGTTTCAGACATTTTAATTCTGCTTCTATTGACCTAGAATAATTTTGTCATAGATTCATTTACCAAATGTCGCACAGACAAAAGAACCAACAGTCAACAGCAGTTTTTGCCTTTTGCTTGATTTGGACTGCAGAACAGAAAAGCCATTATCCCACTATTATTGTGGACTTGGCAACTAGTTGTCATAGAATAAGATATAACAGTGATTAGAAGGTAGAAGAAATGAAATAGCTGTGACACCCACAAGCAGAAATGACTCATACTAATTCACATTTTACCCAGACTCACAACCGAATAAAACATAATTAAATATGAAGTTTTCTTTTTGAGTAGTCTTTTGCTATTGTCCAAAACTGCTCAAATTCCTTTGGTCTGAATTACTTTTAAGATTTAATCATAGACAAAGAAAAGAAAGATTTAAAGAAATGGATAAGTCAAATGAATTAAAATATTAAGAATTGAAGCACTGCCACTTATAACTCATTTTTCACTTTTTGTTTCTTTTAAATTGTGAAGACCCAGGATTTTTTTTGCTACGAAGTCGAACCTCACCCATTTATCTTACCATTTTTGTGTATACATATTAGAAACACTTCTTAAAATTCAGCTGTAAACTCCTTGCAACCAAAGAAACTTTCCAGGTGTGACAAAAGAGAAGTTGTAAATCACAGCAAAGTGTGGGAAGAAAAGGTGCCTACTGTTTCCACAGATGTATTCTGAACTTAAGAGGACAGTAACAACATGACTTAACAGGCGTGATTCACGTATTGATGTACAGGAGAATAGTCTTCAAATTACGTGCATTTGTGAGATATTAATAAGACTTTACATGATGGAAATGCTGACCTATAAATCATATTACAATAAAAATGTGAATGATTACAAGAAAGAAAAAAAATATTAAAATTACTCCAACAGTTCACTATGACTTAGGTTCAAGAAGACACTGAAAAATAAAACAAACTGAAATGAAATGTTTCCAGAAAACTGTGGCTTTTTTAGAAAAATATTTCTATTAACATTCATATGTATTTCTATTAGTCAAGCACTGCCATTGGAAATTGAGCTATAGAACAGTGCAAAGGAAGATTTTATGTTAATGTAGGCAAGTGGATTACCATGAACTGTCTTGGTTTTTTGAAAATTAATGGATAATTAATAGATAATTAACCACAAAGGGAGACTTAAGCCAAAATAATGTTGCATGATAGACAGGAAGGAGAGTTATCTAGGGTAATCTTATTTGAACAAGGTAGGACTGCTGCTACTGGCATATCTAAGCAGGAAAAAATCTTGCATGTTACATGGAGGAGTAGTCATTTTAATTTTTAGGTGTATAAGCCATCATGTATGGAATTAATTTGAAATTTTGTGTAGGGTTTTTTTTTTTGCATAAGTGGTAAGGTTTTGGAAGCAGAGGGGCTGCATGGGGGTCTCTGTGGGAAGAGGCCACATGCTGCCCCATGCTGGACACAGACAGTTTCAGCCAGCTCCACAGTGGACCTGCCATAGGACGCAGCTGAGCCCACTGGCCAAACTAGTGGTGCCTCTGTGAAAACATGATTAAGAAAGGGCAGAAAATGCGACAGGGAGCGAGGAAGAGGGAACAAAAAAGACTGAGAGACAAAAGAGGGACCACCAAGGTCAGTGGAGTAGGAGGTGCTCCATGGCAGAGCAGGCATCGACACTCCCCGAAGGGGCTTTAGTTATTTCTCTTTGCCGCTGCTTCCTTCTTGCTTTTTTCCCGTGTGGCACATGGAGGAGCTACAGCAGAGCAGGTACACCCCAGGAAGGACTGCAGCCTATACATAGGGCAACACTAGAGCAGATATTTCCCTGAAGGGACTGCGGCCCTTGGAGGAGCTATGCTGGAGCAGGTACACCCCCAAAGGTACTGCAGCATGTGGAGGACCCATGCCAAAGCACAAGAAAAGAGCAAGAAAGGATTGGCAGAAGCAAACATCTGCAACCCTGCTCTGTGCCATTCATACCTTACTGAAGAGATTAAGTGTAACTTGCCCCAATAACGAGGGAGAAGATGTGCTTGCAGCAAAGCTGAGCTTCAGAAAGGGGGAGGAAAGGTGTTTTCCCTGAGAACATAAATGTTTGCTTTGTTTTTTGGTTTTGTTTCCTGATGTTCAAATTGGTACTCAAATATTTATATCAATTTAAATGAAATTAAATTCCCAAGCTGAGTCTGTTTTGCCCTATTCTTCCTAATTTTCTTCCCCATCCTGCTGGGAGTGCCGGGAAGCAGAGTTTGAGAATAAGCAAGGCAGCTCAGTAAGTGCCAGCTAGGGCCAAGCCACCATAGTTACCTTCCTAGTCCACCCCTCCTAAATCAGATAGATGAAAGTACTCAGTAGCTTGGTAGAAGACCTAGGAAAAAGTATTCTAATACAATTAGTGCTTCACAGTAACAGAAATTCAGGTGGGTCAACCCAATGCCTGCCTAAAGGAAACCAGGTCTGCTTGATAACCTAGCATAACACAAACATACTGACTGCTAAATTTTTTTTCTACCTCAGTAAAGATACTGACCTTCAATTAAGCTCTTCATAGTGTTCTTCCAGAAATCAATACTGTAATTTAATCTAGAACTAGCAAGCTTTGGTTTGTTGACAGAGCACATGATATTTGTTTGTTCATCATTTTTGAGTCCGCTTTTGAATATTGTTCTCTTCTGAGAGATGGCCACAAAGCAATATGGCCAGAACACAGAGTTATATAAACTCTTGTAAAACTTATTACCTCAGTTTAAACATACTTCTTGTGTCAGGAGAGTTGATGGAGAATGGGCACAATATAGAATAAAGCAACAGTAAATGGTTATTATTGTGCACTCCTCTGTACAGCACTAAAAAAAATAAATTGGTTTGGTATACAAGAATAGCACAGACATTCATCTTCGTCCTAGAAACCTACACATCCGTCTATAGACTCCTTCAGTAGAGCACGAAGGATGAAACTCTTTGCTTTCAACATTAGCCATTGAAAAGGTAAAAATTTGTTTTAAACCAGTCATCTAGGCTGCCTCTCTAATAGGCATCCTGGAGGCACTTTGGAGGATAATTCAGTATATCTTAAGAATATGACTACTATAATTTGAAAGAATAACCCTCTGCAAAATTTTGGGTTTTGCTACTGAACAAGCATGCAACTACAGATCTGAATTAACTAGCTTTGAAGTGACACCTGATTTTCAGGTGACTATAAATTAAGAGTAATGGATTTCTGAGCAAAATGGAACTCTGCAAACTGTGTGATACAGTTCACATACAATTTTCCATGTTTTCAGTGGTGATAGCTGAGTCATACATGGGCAAAATACATCAATACTTTTGCTTTCCAAGAGCTCTCCTGTCTCAGAATCGCTGGCTAGCCAGCAAGTTTGCTGATACTCTCTTGCCCTGACAGCAGTCCTGATAGCTACTTAGTGCACAGCTCTGGCTTAGAAAGACTCTAAACCCAGGACTGCTGAAAGTCTCAAGTCAAAGCGGAATTATTTAAGCTTACCATATGCTTATAATTGCCCCCTAGCTATTTGCAATGGACCACTGGGCACAGGGCTAAACAGATCTTTGGTTTGATCTAGTACTGTGTTCTCATGTAGTCAAACAAAGTAGCTGCAGTCACCCACAGGGACTTAGTTGCCAATAGAGGGTAAAGAGTTTACTCAGCCCAATTCCACACGTTAATCCATCTTCTTTGTTTTTCCACTCAGCAAGCTTCGCTTTTCCAAAACTTCCAGTGAAGTTCGTCACCCATGGCAGTTTGTATTATTGTCATATAAAGGGTCATTATACAGAAAACTCTTTAAAAGTAGCTCTCTTCATCCATGTATTTCAGGAAGGAAAGAGTAGAGAAAGAATGTTTTCAGACCACTTCTACTGTGTGCAAGTCATGAGATTGAAGGGTTTTACCACCAAAGAGGAGCATCCAGTACAATATGTACACCACAACACAGACTTCTAGAATATAAACCATGCGGAAATGCATCATTTAGATGCAAGAACAATGGAAAAGGTCTCAAAGTCTCTAAAACCTTTAAGAATAACGTGCTAGGCTTCATTACAGAGTTACAGGTGTGACTCGCCTTTTACCTCTGGTATTATAACTTTTATCAATAATTAAAAATAAAAGTTTCCTTTATGTCTGAGAATCTAAAGCCTTAGTTTCATACCTCAAATTTTTCACTTAAAAGACAGTTGAAGGTCACATAAATTTCAGGAGTATGATTCAGGTTATTGAAACAGTGGGTTAGACAAAAGGACTGCTTATTTCACAAGGAACTAATAAGCATGAGAAATTAGTAATTCCATAAGCATTAGTGTCCTAAATCCAGCTATGTATGTTAGTGACTACAAGTTATGAAGCAGAAACACATACTGTGTTTACTATCCATGAAATATGCAGGTTTTGCTAAATATAAATATATCCCATGGAATTCTGAATTTAACAGATTGATCATTTCATGACAATAGCTCATTTTTTCCAGATTTTAATGTGTCCAAACACATTCTGCAGACCATAAATTATAACTATGATGAAATGGAAGTATATATATATCTTCTCTGGCTCTTTATAAGAGCTTTTATTTATTTTTTCCTCACATACTCTCCAGTGAATGTTACAGAAAAATTAATGTCAGTATTTCACAAGCTTATGCAACAAAACATCCTTCAAATATACAGGAACTGCATACTGTATTAAGACATTATGTGTACCTTTTGAAATTCTCATGGATCACAGCATCTGGAAACGACACAAACTGACTCTTCAATTCAATACCAAATTTTAAATCTACACTCCTAATTCTACATAATTCAACTTGAATTTTAAGCAGTACAAATCTAATTACAAATTTGTAACTGCCTGGAGCTGTATCATTTTATCTGTGATTATACTATTTCCACCTTAATAAAAGGATGCTTGGGTTTACAGTATTAACCCCTAATAATCCCGCTAATGCAACCACAGATAATTTTACTGGCAATTATGACAATGCATTTTATTACTTATACTATATTTATAGAATTAAGGTTGACAGAAAGAGAGACACAAACACAAAAGATTATTCAGCAGATTTCCAAAATGAAAGAGTTTCTTGACCCATGAAATCTCACAGAATCACCGAATGCTCAAGCAGGGATGTGTAGAGCTGGTTGCCCAGGACCATGTCCTAATGGGTTTTGAATCTCTCCAAGGACACACAGACAGGATTCACAGATTGACAAATGTGTAACACAGTTCAAATGATAACCTGGCCTCAGTACATCACTCTTCAACAACAGAAACACTTACAGTTTGTTGGAAATCATGGGCGGATCATGGATGATCTCTTCATATGGCTCTTCTTGAGATAAAGTAGAAACAGCCAAAGGGTCTTTCATTTTCTCCTCCCAAACAGTTTCAGCCTTCAGAAGCATTTCCTCAATAAACTCAGAAGCTGCAACATCTAGGACATTGGGACACCAAGATATCAGACAAAGACAACAGGCAGAAAAGATCCCTTAAATTCAAATCTCTAGATCAGATTAAGTATCCAGCTAGATAAAATGAAAAGAATTGCTCAAAGATTGATCATAAAACAGTAGTTGAAATTACTGGGAAAACAAAGGCAAAGTAAATTCAGTATGCAATTAAGTTGTCATTTGCAATATCTCAAAACCATTCTCACTGCGTAGCGAACCAAAGTATAATTCAATAATTCACAAGACTTCAGGAAAAACGATACAACTGTTTTCAGCTCTGTATTTCAATGAAAACATGTACTGAAATCCTTTCCAAACTTTTTACTTTTCTACAAACTAGATTTATATGTCTCACACACACAGCAGTGCTGAAATCTGTTGTGTTTGCAGTCCAGAAATATAGTTAACTCGACTGTGTAAAATACATACTAAATGAGGTTACCTAGCTGTATTGTTAGATGACCTCAGTTTGGTCCATAGCCTTTTATACAAATACAAACTGGCATGTGTCTAACCACAGCTTTTCTGAGGTTAAGTGTCATGAAGTTCCCTGTGAATGTGTTTGTAGGTGGTACATTATTTGAAGCATAACATATCTCGCTTTATTATGCAAAGGAAGTTACTCCTCATAATCTGACAGAAATATTCTACTTTCTACATTGCTGGGCTCCTTCATTTTATCCTAGACATAGAAGGTTGAACAACTATATGTTTCTTCTTTTCAACACTGTTATCAAGCATTACTGCCATTAGCTCTGCTTTGATCACTGAGTTAGACCAGTTAATCTGAAGTCCCTTCCAACATCATATAGACTATAGTTCTATTATTAGAGCCAGTGCTTCAGCTCCCTGTTGCTACCTTGTCTAAGAAGATGCCTTCTTCTGTGGGAAACAACAGGTGTTACACTTCAAAACTGGATGGTGAATTTGTTTTCAGTCAACAGCTATATAGAATCCTGTTCACGAGGGCTATATACTATCGTCAGTTGAGATGGAGAAAGGAACTCAGTAAGAAGTCATCAAGGAAGTGTAAATGCAGCTACCACCGAGGCACTGAAGAACTTACAAGGAAGAAACATAACTAAAAATAAACAGGGAACGCAACAAGGGGAAGAACATTCTGTCATTTGATATAAGATCCTGCATGATCATGACTAGCATTCTCTGAAATATATGAAAAAACATATACACACATATTTATGTGTATATAAAACTACGCACTATATAAACTACATGTATACACATATCTATGTGTGCCTCTGAGTATGTAAGAAAGCAAGGAGGAAAGAAAACAGTGTCACAGTAACTAGTATATGTAATATACATGGATTTTCACTTACCTGAAGGCTTTTCGTTATTGCAGTTAAGAAGATTGGGATTTGCCCAGTGCATCAGAAGCAGCTTCACAAGGTTGGTCTAAAATGGGTAAAAACAGAGGTGTTTGAAATGGCAGAAGCAGGACATGAGCAGTAAGCCTGCCATTTACATCCTTCTTGTGCTAGCTTAAATCATATGATAAATCACAGGCAACGCCTACCTCCAAAATCCCACCTTCTGCAGCTACTACATACATTCATATAAATCAAAACAGGCAGAATAAAATACAGTTCCCACATGATTTCAGTGTAGCCTCAGCACAACTCTGCCCACCAAAGTCTCCCTCCATTCTTACATGTGTAAACAAATCCACACCAGTAAGGCAAAAACTTAACCTTCCATCACCACCTGTCATGACTTAGATCACAAGCACTTCTTTATGCCTAACTAATTCAACAAGTGTGTACTACCATCACTGCCAAAGGGGTCTGACTCACAGCCATCATGGAAGTAAATCTGTTTCCCGTCAGTAGTAGAAATTGGCACGTTTATCATATGTTTACCAAATCCATTTAACGTATTAGTGATGATAGTATATTACAGTAGCGTAGGGTAGAGTATCATATAACGAAAAAGTCTAAACCACATTTTTCAATCCCTGCAAGAATGTTGCAAACAACTGTTTTTAACAAGCTCTTCTATCGCTGCACCAGACTCCAGAGATATTTCTCCATCGAAGGCCGTAGTAATGTCTACCCTGATAAAGTGGTTGGTCAGAAAGGAGAAAGAAACTGCACAAGAAGCAAAATATACATTTAGAATGTGTATATAGAGCTCAACTAAATGAAAGAACTGTTTGCACTTTTGGATACATGCTAAAGAAAATAGGATTTATAACACAAATGCAATCCACAGGTGAGGCCAGGTTGAGCACAGGGAAAATAAGATATGTGGAAAAGAAAGGGTTCTTTGGAGAAGAAAAGAGCTACAGATAGATGAGACCTGAATCGGAAGGCAGCTAAGGGAAAAAAGTAGTAATTTGGCATTAAAAAAAATAAAATAAAATAAAAATCAGTAAATAATTAAATGATTAAAGGTTGAACAGGAAAGAAATCATTGTACTAAAAATAATAAAATGCAACATGGATCCAGTACACAAGGAGGCAATTTACTACGAAAGACCATAAGGAGGAATTGGTTAAATTCAAAAAAACCCAAGCTTCTAACCACAGAAAACCAGGAAAATATTGTTGTAAATTTCTATAAAAATAAAAAAATCCTGCTCTCCTTAGCTTTCTACTGCTGGTTTTCCATTCTGTCAGTAACAGCAGAAAATTCAGCAAACTGTGGAAGCAGGGAGGAAGCCATAACAGGTTTATTTCCAAATCCAATTAGCCCTGCTTTCATCTGAGAACTTTCAACACATATATCTCTGTGTTTTTTCATTATGAAAAAATGGCACATGTTTAGTCATCATGCTGACTAAATCAGCAGCAGTTGCATAATCTCGTTAACAGCCATTCTGAAAAGTGGTAGCGGTTGCATCAAAGGAGTCAGGGCTTAAGTATACTTTCAGTTCAGTAACAATGCATATCTTTTTTGGGTTACCAAAGTTTTGGATTTATGCCACAAGAAATCTCATTCTCCAATATCGATGCTTCCTGCTGCCAATGAAATATCTCCAGCTGTGAATCCTTGACGCACATCAGTAAGACTAAGGTGTTCAGGCCACTGGCAATTTCAATTATTTGCTTTTGGATACACAAAACTGTCTGTGTTGGTTTTAACCTCATTCACTTATGTTTTAGAAAGAATATTTTAAAATCCAACTGGCATATCTTCAGAACTGTGCCTAACAGTAGAAACATTTGTAGAATAATTATAGCAAGTTACTACTACCCAAAGATACTTCAATTGCAGATCTAAAAATAAAGTAAATATGATTGTGTTAGGAAACTGCAATATCTAATGAAATAATGTAGACTCTAAGAATAAAATTTTTATACACATAAGTTTGCCTTTGCCAAATTCATAAAAAATGAAAAAAACAGACAATGCAGTGTCCTGGTTTGGGCTAAATCAGAACT